GCAATTTAAAATCATAACTATATCTTACTAAAAAACACAATGGTCCAAGATGGGAGAAAACACAAGAAACAAAGTCAGACAGTGGATGGAGGAAAGACTTACTTAAACAGCCAGGTTTTCCGTTGACGTTTGAAGTTCCCCAGGGAAGGGGCCATGCGAACCTCAGAAAGGAGGTTATTCCAAAGACGAGGAGCCACCACCGAGAAGGCCTGGTTTCTTGTTTTTTCCTTCCGGGCTTCCCTCGGCGTTAGACTCCTCAGCCGCACCTCCTGGCTAGATTGAGTGATATGGGTAGATCTAGGTGGGAGGAGGCGTTCTGCCAGATATTGAGGTCCTAAACCATTTAGGGCTTTATATGTAATTATTAAGACTTTGAAATCAATGCAGAAACGAACGGGCAGCCAATGCAAAGCAGCCAGGGTGGGAGAGATATGTTGATGTTTTTTCACCCCACTGAGAAGTCTGGCCGCCACATTCTGCACCATTTGAAGCTTCCGCATCAATCCAAAAGGCAGCCCCATTTAGAGCGCATTGCAGTGGTCAAATCTCAAGATTGCAAGCACATGGACCAAAGTGGTGAGCGCCCCAACATCAAGATAGGGACGCAGCTGGGCAATCCACCAAAGATGGAAATAAGTGGAGCGGACCATTGACACAATCTGGGTTTCCATAGTGAGCACCGGGTCGAGATGGATCCCCAAGCTGCAAACCCAAATGAGAGGGAGTTTCCCAAACTGCTGATGTTGGGAACACCCACCCTCAGGATCTCCATCTTGTTCGGGTTCAGGCTCAGCCCACTTAACCTGCATCCATTGCAGTACAGCCTCCAGGCAGCGCTGAAGGGACAGAGTGGCATCCACTGAGGTAGGTAAAAAGATGTAGAGCTGAATGTCATCAGCATACTGATGGCACAATGCCCCACACCCCCTGATGACCCTACCCAGCAGCCTCATACAGTATAGATATTAAACAGCATTGCGGAGATAATCAAGCCCTGCGGGACCCCACAATTGAGGCTCCATGGGGCCGAAAGCCTCTCCCCAAGCTGTACTCTTTGAGGACGGTCTTCCAAGAAGGATCAGAGTCAGGCAAATGCCAGGCCACCAATTCCCAGCTCGGAGAGCCTCCTCAGGAGGATACAGTGGTCAATGGTATCAAAGGCAGCTGAGATATCGAAGAAGACCAATAGAGACGTTTTACCCGTCAGCCTCCCTCAATAGGTCATCCAACAGGCCGACCAATGCTGTTTCTGTACCATGGCATGGCCTGAAACCC